CGACGTGAAGCCCAGGAGGCGCATGTAAGACTATGCACTATTAATGGGAGTGGTATGGACAGCTGGGGAAGATAACAACGTTGATGGTGATGGCGGAGATGGAGATGGAGATCGTAACGTGGGGCAATATTTTATGCGATTCCGAAAATGAAACGCAAACGGCCGACGGGCTATTAATTTAAATGTAAAAACGAAGGAAAAATGCCCGAGTCGTAATATTTTTTCATAATTCTTTGTCGCTTTGCTTGCATAAGCATTTGTTTTATACTCTCACTCACACATACACCCCATCTGCTCACACATACACACATACATGCTACTACATGCAATGTTCGTCAGCTGGTGCTCCAGCTCCAGCTCCAGGTCCTTCTTTTGCCTCAGCTCCCTTTGCTGAGCACAGCACAAAATGCCTTCGCTTATAATATTAAAATAGCCGGAAGCGGAAATTCAAAACGCCATTGCATGAGTGTATATCAGTACATATGCACGTGTGTGTATTGAAATTTGTGGTTGTGTGTGTGTGTGTGTGTGTGTGTGTGTGTGTGCTCTTACATATTTGATTTCGTAAGAGCACGAGCACCCTACCCTAGCCAGACCCCTTGCATGTTGCCAACTGTGGGATATGGGTTGCATGCCGCCACGACAAAATCCAGGAGTCTCTCCGGACCCTTTCGACTTTGGCTTGAATGCAGCTCAAATAAGTCTGAACCCCCCACCCGGCACATCTGCCACCCTGCCAACTTCTGGCCATTGTTTATTTGCCCTGCAACAAATTATAAGTACAGAATGTCGAAGGCTTCCTGCCGAGTGCCTGAATGATGGCAGCTTGTTTGCATAACAAGCACGTGCGGGAGTTCGGGGTGGCCACGGGTGGTACCATAGAAAATCCAACTGGCCGGACTGGCTTATATAATGACGCAAGAGCAACCTCTCTCCTCGCGGACAGACAGTTCAACGACTCCAAATTGGTCAGCCAGACGCAAGCGGAAGCAAACGAGTGTGTATCGCTTGCGGAGCTGGGAGGGTGTGTGCAAACCCCCTACTTCTTTTTGGAATGGCAATCCAAGGTCATCCCATCTGACGTTCGGCAAGGCGAAATGCAATCCGCAAATGTCAGAGGCGCACCCGCACCCAGGAGACGCTCATTAGTTGCCATTGCCGCCGATGTACCGACGTGCGTATTCATGTCCGTGCCCCAGAACTTGTGTGTCTGTGTGCCTTTCCGCTGGGGCACGAGCATACGCTGCAGAACCTGATCCCAGGGCAGAGTTCTTGATGCACCTTCAACATCCTGTTCATTAAAATTAATGAATCCGCCTAACCTCCAAAATGTGCATACATTTATCTGTGAATATCTGTATCTTCATACATGCATCTGGGGTTTCATTTTAATGAGTAATGGGTATCAGTTAGTATGGCTTCATGATTATGTTCACGAATGTATGATGAGGCAATTGATTGTGGCCTTGCGATTGACAAATTCAGAGAACCCCCAAAGTAGGCAACGTTTATTTTAATCGGGGTCTCTATCTCTCCTACTCTAATCCTCTACTCTACTATACGAGTACATATGTACATATATGTTCACATCTGCATCTCTAATTCTCAACTGGTTAATCTCTTTCTCACAAACAAAATATTCATATTAAATTTGTAGCTTTTTAAGCAAACAAATTATGCTGCCATCCCGTTCCCGTTCTCTCTGTTGTTGCCGTTCTGTTGCTGTGCTCTAAAATAATAAAGTGCATGTACATTATACCACTCAGAGCCGTTTGCATACGACGAGTGTATGCTGGTAACTTTTTTAATTATGCCAAGAACATAAAATTAAATTTATACTTGCACTTTTGGTCCGACCTTCGTCTAAGTGGGCAAGTGGTCCGCCCAAGTGGGAGGGTGTGTGTGTGTGTGTGTTTGGAAGGGCAAGTATGTGTGTTTGTGATATACAGCATGGACGTGATGATGCACTCCCACCAGCGCACCCGGCAGCCATTGATGATAACTTTTTTCAGCACTTGCTCTCAATACACAAATGTGCTATAAAATATGTGAAAAAATATTTCTTCTGCTACTGGGATGGGCAGCAACGTAAATGGCTTTTGGCTTTATTTTATGGCGTTTCTCCTGCTCCAGCTCCAGCGCCAGCGCCAGCTACAGCTTCTGGTCTTGATGTTGTGCCTGCGCTTCTGTGTACTGCGTTTTGCTCTCTCTCAATGCTCTGCACGGTTGCATCATCAATTATGCTTATCAAAACACTGAAGGGCTAAACTTTTGCTGACCAGCTGCTGCCCTACTGCTGGAGCCCCGAACCCAGAACCCCAACCCCAGCTAAAGGCTCTGCCCCATCCAATGACCTAACAACAACTGCAAGTGATTTGAGTGCACTCGACAGGTAATAAATATGAAGTGCTAAACACGAGATACGCGCATTTTTCTGCTGCAAAAACTTTTGCCACATTGTAGCCAGCAATATTGCAAAAGCTTTTAAACAATTGCTCTGGAGGGGGGGCGCCGGGCAGTAGCAGTAGCAGAAACAGAAACAGAAGCACAGTCGGAGACAGACACAGATACGGTTTCAGAGGGGGGCGGGCGGTATAGCGCAGGCCAAGGGCAGATTTTATATGCGAGCGCTGAGCTTTGCTGAGCTGAATCGAACCGAACGGAGCCGAGCGGAACAAAGTACCGGTGCTTTCCAATCAATTACAACGACTAGTACTACGCCCGTGCGGCACGGATTTACACAAATGCACAATAATTTCTAGCATCAGCGGAAAACATGACAGGTTAATGCCTGGCAGCCTGCAAATTCATGTCGGATTGCACCTGTGACCACGGAGCGTATGTGCAATTTGAATGATTGTTTTGCGTTCTGTTTCGCTGTTTCGCCCTGCCCATACCTCGAGTACTCGTTTCATTTGCCTTGCTCAGCCGCATGGAGTGGTGGATGGTGAGGGTGAGGGGTGCAACTCGGTGCCAAGTGTGTTGATTACAGTTATTGCAAGTTATTTTCAAATTTATTGGGTGCACATTCGTCCTTTCAACTGTGATTGATGTGGCTTTCCTTTGGCTTTGCCATTGCCTTCACCTCCTAATGAATGAAAATGAAAAATGTGTGAAGGGAATAATGAAGCGCACGCCTAGCAAACTGAGCGCATCTGATGAAAAATGCCTCTTTGACTGGTGGATGTATCTGTTTTCCATACTCAATTTACTGAATTTAAACATTAGTTCTTTCTCCGTAATATGTTGCCCTGGCGATGGCTGAGACTCTTTTCCATTAGTTCTACGATAAAATGCTTGTCAGAGAATCATGGCTGTAACTGTCTATTTATCCCTTTCATGGAGTTTATATTTAATTTATCCCATTCATGTAGTTTAATTTAAAGCTCCATCCCTTGTGTTTTAATTTGTAAATGTCTTGAGGATTTTAGAACTGCCATCCAATTTCGAAGTTATATGTGTATTACTTTGGGAATATATAGGTTATCAGCTATCAGTACTATAAAAGGTATGAAATTGGAAGCTGTTAAGGCCGAAAGTTTTTAGGTAACAGGATAATATTTATCAAATAATTTGTGCGCGTATGTTGCAGCATCAGCTGTTTGGAAGAGGCGGTAGGAAAGAGACAGGGCTCTTGTAATGCCATTAAAGTTAATGCATTGGAAAATTCGATTATTTACAATTTTTACAACTTTACCATAAATTGATGTCACGGGGATGAGCTTTTAAGCAAACAGGGCGGCCAAAAAGCTTGGCTTAACAGCTGTCACCGTGTGGCCTGCGGCCGTGTGTGCGCTTCTACGTGTACGTACGTATGTATGTATGAGCAGCTGTGCATGTGTATCTGTGTGCCTTAATATGTCTATCTGCTCGACCTTAGACTTCGACTGGCACTGGCACTGGCAGACGGGCGTTGAAATTAGGCAGCACCGTGCAGAGGCCTGAGTTGTTGGGGAGGTTTCGTGCGAAACTTTTTAATCAAAACGGCAAATCGAAAATAAAAATGGCAAAGTTTTCAATCTCTCAAACGTCGAAGTATTTCGACACACTCGACTCGGGGCTGTCAACAGCCAATTTTGCCCGTTTGGTTGCAAGAAAAAGAAAGTTTCCACACTCTGAGTGGGCCGAAGGAGTCGTAGGATCCGGCTGCCTGCTAGTATGTGTACACTACAATTTCTTGTTGAAATTTCTCCATTACTTTTGCAGTTCAATGTTTTACTTTTGAGCCTGCCTCAGACCCGGCCCGACCTGCCACTTGTGCATGGCAAATTTACTCGGGGTTCATTTGATTTGCCGAAAACTTTGGTGGCCACAAAAGTTTGCTTCTTGGCTAGAGCGGCCGCGTTCAATGCATTTGATTTTGGCCAACTTTCAAGAGTGTGGAGGTGGTTGTGTTCATGTGTGTGTGTGTGTGCCCAAGTGCAACATGTTTGTTGGCAAAATGAACGGCAACGAGGGCGACGACGCTGAATGAAATGTTGACAGAGAGTAAACTGCCAGGCTTAAGGAAAATGTCGAAAAATAATTGGCGCGGCGTTCCAAAAAGTACGTAAGTTCTACAAATAAGCATTGCCCTTTTCTCATTCAACTGTTGGAGTTTGTATGTAAGGATGTAAGGGCAAAAGTGAGACTGTGTGTGTTGGGCCAACAATGGAGACCAATTATGGCGTGTCGACTTGCGCCGCCCTCACCATGCTCCGCGAATTGCCATTTGTCGAGAAGTTTACCGGGCGTCGGGGCTGGCCTGATTGCCAATTGCCAAACTGCCGCCTTCTTCTGGCGTACTTACCATTTAGAAACCCATGGAAGCCTATGAATTCCCCCAGCCAGAGACACAAAAACAACAGAGCAGTTTAGTTATTATTTAAATTACATTTATTTTCTCATGATAATCACTTGATTTATTCGAATGCATTCGATTCTTTTTGTTTGCCATCCATTTGCAATTTTCTATCCAGTATTTTTTGTTCTTTCTCATTCTTTGTATCTGTGTGTGCGGGCACAAAGTATCTGTTGTTGTTGTTTTTGTTTTTTTTGTTGGTTACTTTTATTAATATGTTTTATTATTATTAAATTCATATTCATCAAATTGTTGCAAGTTGAAATTTTACATTTATGCGCACGAGCACTTACATTGAAAACATTTGAATCGTTTCTGAAATTGTTTCTGTATTTATTTATCCTTCGCTATGTCTGCTCTGCGCTTCTTATCGAGATTACAATATCTATAATAATTTTCTTTGTTGCCATATGTGGATTTCATTAATTATCGATTGGCCACTAATAGCCACATTCACAATATAGGTATTAATTAAAAAAATATTTACAGTGGAATAATGCTTAACAGTGGAAACCAACTAAATGTTCCATACAATCCGATTCAATCAAATTTAATTCAATTAAATGCAATCCAATAAAAAGATGTGGCAATTGTTCAACGGGCTTCGGGCATACGCATACACATGCAAACACATCAAGGAGACTCTGGAATGCTATTTTCAGTATTTTCTTTCAGTTTTCTCAATATCTTCAATATGTACTTTCGCTATTACAATGGTTCAATGATTACGCTAAGATTTTGGTTTCGGTTTACACTAAGGAATCTATTCAAACTTCAAATAGTATCTCTTAACAGCTTTATGTTGTAAATTACGTACTGACACTGAACGAATGTTAGTTATGTTTGCTTGTTTGTTGGTTAATTCTGACATTACACCGATTGCAATTTTGGGGCACTCGCCGTATTGTGATACATATGTATGTATCATATGTATATCGTATAGACTGCTGCCCCCTGCGGACAGACGACAGAGTGTAAGAAACAGTCGAGAGGTCTCTATTACGTAGATGTTTGTTACTTTCCTGGCTTGTTCGATTGAGGTGATTCATGTTGGGGTAGAAGATGGGAGAGTTGGGAGAGAAGAAAAATGTTTGCAGTGAAATGGAAATTTTCTGAAGATACGACTGAGATGAAATGTCCTGCAAAACTAAAGTAATTTATTGATTTGGCTGACTGATGAAGTTTTATTATCCTACGTTTTACTCTATATGTATGTAGCCAGGTGGCGCCCTCCTCCGCCCCACCATTAATGAGTGCTTGCAATTAATTACAGCTTTATTCTGACAGTTTAAAACCCCATAATGCATACCTTGGCCCTGACCAAACTCCAATTTTGCCCATTTTCAGTCAGTTGTAGTTGCACGAGTATGCCTGCCTGGTTTTACTTTTTTTGGGGAGTAGGTTTTCCATTTTTATTTACACAGTTTAAATTACGTTTACGTTTTTCTGCCTCTGAATGGGTGTGTGTTCGGGTGTCCTTGTGTGTGCGTGTGAGTGTGTGTGCCATGCCATTTGCAATGAAATTTATTTACAAACTTAATAACATAATTAATTATTATAGGCTGATGTTCTCGTTCTCGGCTTTGAAATCTTTCCGTTTTTTTTTTAATTTAAATTTGTTGTATGTGGCCTTTTCTATGGGCTGGACGTGCCCCCTGCCCTTTTTTATACTTTTAGTTTTCAATTAGCAATTAGTAACAGTTATAATAGCGTTTTAATGTGTGTGTTTTTTTATGTGTACAAATACATTTCGTATATGTATGCATGTAGATACATATATGTATATATTCACGTATGTATGCATGTCTGTATGTATACCTTGTTTTAATGGACTGAAATTGGCTACTTATGCAAATTTCGTTTCCGTACGAGAGAGTAATGCGATGTAAAGAGCATTCCACTGACTCGGACAGAGGCATTTTTAAATAAATACTCGTATCCGTTTTCGGTTCAACGACTTCATACGTGTGCCAGTACAAACAAGGCATCATCCGGAGTCATTCGATGGTGAAACGGGGAATACGACGATACGAGGTTCCGGGGGTGAAAGTAAACAAAAACCTATTCATAAATGTAGCTAACATATATGTATGTATGTGTATATCAAAATTCGTCAACATACTGTACAGTACAAAATCAATGGGGGGCTGTAAGTTACCAACTAAACTGAGTGAAGCTTATCTAAATGCTCCTGGATGTACATGTAGTACATACAAGTAAATGCCTTGCATCCGAGTATCGTAAGAGTAGAAACGATACCCACAAACGTAACGTACTTTGACTGTGATTGGTTTTGCATGATTTTTACACTTGATTGCGCAGCTTTCACCGAGCTTAGCTTAGCGATTATTCTAACTTTGGTTTATTTCTTCTTTCGGTTTTCTCTTTCCTTCGTTTTGCTTCGTTTAGTTATTAATCTTGCACCGTCCGCCGTGGCCGTGGCCGTTCGGTTTAGTTTAGGTCTAACACTGAAATAGCTTAAATAGGATTTTTCTTTGTAATCGTGCGAGCACTTCGCACGTCTCCACGTGCCCAGCTGTCCCAGCCATGTGCTTAGGTCAGGAAGATGCGTCTGATGCGAGAGAGGGGGAGGGAGGGAAAGACCAGGAAAAAGATAAAATATACAGAATTTGCATGCAGTTAGTGACTGGATGAAATTGCATTGGCATCTGACTGAGCCGCACTTACCTCACAACAACAGTGTTCAGCAGAAGACAGGGCGCCAGCATCGACCTAAATATGTGCGCCAGGCGATCGGCCGAGGAAGTCTTCCGCCTGGAGATGGCCGCCATATTGTCGCCTGCAAGTGACAGCCGGGGATAAATTTGAATCTGAATTAGAATTTGTTTCGTTCGAGCGAGAGCGAGAGCAATTGCAATTACGAGCAGGAGCAGCAGGAGCCCTGCTCGTGCATTTGCATCGTCCCTTTCCGGGGACTGGCATTTTCATTTTAATAAGCTGCAGGCATCGCCCAATTTGCATATTTTCATTTACACGTCTTATCATCATCATTATCAAAATGCGCGCAATGTCTATTTAAATGCTAAAATCACGGGTAAACTCAATTTGGCCACCAGACTGTGGCCCCACGCCCTCCCCTCAGCTGCACAGCCTTGCAGCCATGCAACCACTCCGTCTGTTGAAGTTTTAACTCGTACCTTTTGAGACGAAGACGTAGATGCTCGCCGGCTCCGTGTTGCTGGCCGAGCAGGTGTAGTTGCCCGAGTCGGTGATTTGCGGCTCGCGAATGATCAGACGGCTCTGGGTCCGCGGCCCCGGTGTGGTCTCTATGGAGATGTCCCGCCTGGCATCGTAGTAGTTGATGAGCCGATCGTTCTTCTGCCAGTACACGTACTGCGGTGGTGTGGGGCTCTGTCGGGAGATGGTTAAGAGAAAAGTTGAGCTTCAGTGAGCACACATAACAGCGAGAATGCAGATGGATTTTCCACTCAGCAGTCTCATGGAGTTATGGCTGGGTCTTACCTTTTCAATAATGCAAACCAAATTGATTGTGGAGCCCATGTCGACATGCAGCTCGCCAGAGCCGAGTATGAAGGCCTCCGGCACAACCACTTGAAGATTCACAAAGTGCGAAATGATGCCAGTCGGTGTCGAGACCTGTGTGTTTTATGGAGAAAGCAGAGAGCAAGTGCGGCAATTGAGTGCGATTGGTATTCGTAATCAACTCCAGTCTTAATGCCCCAGTAAACTCCGAGCAGGAATCAAGAACCAGCTTCTAGCCCGGTGGTCCGCAGACTGTCGGGGAATCGTTGTGAGTGCAAGAAATGTTGCACTCATTGAAATGCAAATCAAACAATTTCAATTTGGCACGCAAAAATGAAACAAAAACGAACGTTTTCTATATAAGTGGAGAAGTGCTCCGGCGTTTCCTACACGTCCCAACTGGGAGCTCCTCCAAAATATCCGGCACACAGAAATCGCTACAGCTCCGGATCAGCTACTGCTACTGCTGCTGGTGCTGCTGCTGATGTTGCAGTAGCAATGGAGAGGGAAAATAATCATTTCGGCATATTTGCATGCAGCTCTCGTCTGCCTCACTCTCACTCCACTCCGGAGAGGACCTTGCCTGGCTGGCCCAACTGACTCGCTGACTCTGGTACTGGCATGCGGCTTCTCATATTGAAATTGCATGCAAACAATTTTGAAATTGAAGCTACGTTTCCGAAACTGCTTCCCTTTCCTCAGCTCAGCCGTCTATCCATCCAGTCAAAGCAGCCCCAGCCCCCAACCCCCCCCCCATCCCCCCATGCCCGAGTGGCACTTGTGCTGCTGCACAAACAGAGTTACTGTCAAGTGTCCATTTCAGCAGTGTCTAACTTTGTTGCTTTTCGGTTAGTTGTCGTTGCCACCCCCATCTGCCCCATCTCGCCTGGCTCCCTTCTCCTAAGCTGCTTTCATTTCTTTCTCTGGCTGGAAACACGCCCTTTCCATATTTGCATTCGCATGACTTTGGGGTTTACTTGTGCATTACTTCGACGACTGCCAGAAACAGTTTCAGTCTCACACGCTGCAGCACACGCGCTGTAACTGTGGTGCAGTCACTGGCCAAAATTTGTCAGTGTCGTCCAGTTTATCTGGCGGCCCCCTACCCCTGCATGTGCTCGGCTCTTGTGTTCCTTACTGTTTCGTGCCAGCCTCCGGCCTGCCAGTCACATGGTTTCGGTTGGGCGGACAAGCGGACATGTCCATGTCCTCGTGCGCATTCCCACAGCCCATTCCCCCCATTCCATCCCATTCCACTGCCAACGACAGATGACCAGATGTCCTGGGGCAGTTTCCTTAAATCGAACTTTTGCATATAAAACTTCATTTGCATTTTACAATTAAATCATGCACATGCGAACAAATCGACGTGACGTGAAATCAGCGAAAACCAAAAAGCCCAAAAAGCCCGAAAACCCAAAAACCTCAATATTGCGTATACGCACACATAACCAGAGAGAAAATAAAAGAGAACTCGAAACGAGAGCGTATGCAAATGCACTTTAGTTTATTTCAACTGCGCCGTATGCATAAAATATGGAGCCATCATTTTACATCCTACCATCCCCCCGCCAATCTGCCATTCTGCCATTCTGCCATCACCCCAGCAGATATGCCACGCCCACTCACCTGACACTCGTACATGCCGTGATCCCGCCGCTGTACAAACTTTATCTGCAGCGTCCACATGTTGGAACCGGGCGTGTGGAGTATCGCAAAGCGCTCGTCGTTGGTGTAGAGCTGGGCCCCCGATGAGAGAATGTGCCAGTCCCGACGACGAATCCAAGAAATTTGATTCTGTTGAGCAGTGAGTATGGGCACGCACGGGCGCACAATTAACGATCCGAACAAATTGATAACTTAGCATTACACTCCGATAACTGACAGTCACCGACAGTGTGGAACATTAAGGAAGCTTGTCATGCAATTAGCGTCAACATGCGAGTGTTCTGGGGATGTGATTATAAAATGCTCATCAACTCAGTCGTTGTGCGGGGTTGTGGGTGTTGAGTTGGGTTGGACGGCAGCTTGTGTTAAAATGAAATACGACATGTGGTTGCAGGGGAGATAAACTATTTTTAATACCACTACCACAAACACAATCTAGGGGAGGATCATATATGTACATATGTACGTGTCATTTAATTGGAATTTCATTGAGCTGAAAATGTATAATGTATAAACTGAAATGAAAGGATGTATTAGGATAAAATGACCGGATCGAAATTGTTGCCTTTTGTACAAAAATCCGCTGTAGGGCGATATCCGATAACAGCCGCATTTTATGGCCAATTCTTAATCGCAGATGATCTGAACAATGTGCGGAGAGCCGTGGGCTAATTAATTGATATTTTTCCAGCAACTGCAATACGTCGTCCCTTGCGTGTCCATTGTGACGCTTAATTGGCTGTTAAGCCAGCAGAATGTCAAACAATGTGTACCGAAATTGTCATACTGCCAAACGTTTGCTTTCAGCTACAAATTAAGCTCTTGTGGGGGCTGTTGTTCGTGCTCGGCTGCTTAACAAATTAGACTTTTGCGTGCCGCAGTCGAGGAAACTCAAAAAAGCAAAATGAAAGCGCCATATAATTAGAATGGGAAACGAAAGCGAAAATGTAAACGCAAACGAAAACGGGAAGGCGGATGAGAACGGATACGGGGACGAGGTTGACAATGGGAAAATGGGTGGGAAAATGCAAATAGAAAAGCATATAAAATGGCAGCTGCAGCTGTACTTACAAGCAGATCTTTATCTATGCGCTGGTACCTATCTCTAGCATTCTAGCATTCTGCTGGGCTGGAGAGGAATTCAATTTTGCAGCCACTAAACAAAACGCTTTTCTATAGCTACACAAACTACGAGTATGCATGGCATGCAGGAGTGATCAGAGGGGATGAGGAGGGTGCTGGATGTTAATGGAGGAAGCAGGGCATTGTGTGCACATGGAACTCAATGGAGGCATGTCGTTGTCGTCGTTCGACGAGGTACAATTAGAGAGACAAAAACAAACCCAATTTACACCCACTCTATCCACGCCGGAGACCTTGCAGACCAGAAAGGCGGTGCCACCCAGCTGCACGGTTGTGTTGTGCGCCATCAGCTGTTGGAGAAGTGTTGGAGTGAGCACAGTGAGAAAGACAGAAAGAGAGAAGGGGAGAAACAGAGAGAGAATACACAAGACAAAAAGTTAAAAGTTCATTTTTTATGGCGTCGAGGGGAGAATAAAAAGCGAAACGCGCCCCAAGTCGCACAATTAGTCAGAAAAACAGAGCCAGAGCTAGAGCCAGAACCAGAGCAAGGACAGCGACTGCCCTAGCAATATACAATACATCAGAGTCGTGCCCAAGGACTCGGAAGTGGACGGGCGCTTGGTCTGGATCTGGATCTGGGTCTGGCTCTGGGTCCGTGTCTGGGTGTCTTGTGGTTGTGGTGGGCCTGCCATTTGGATAATTAGATTCGAAGCCAATGCGAATGAATTATAAATAAGCACTAAAGATTAATTAGTGCCGGGCAGTGCCGGGGATCCAAATCCAAATCCAAATCGGGAGCGTCCTCATGCCTTATGGTAATTAGTGTTATCCCGGTGCACTTGGACTTGGACTGGTCTGCTCTTCTTCTTGCATTTATCATGCTGCAAAATTAACATATTGATGGAGGATGAGGAAACTGTTTTGCTGACACTGCTGGCCATTGTCCGTGCTGCAACAATGGAGTTGTAGCTGTAGCTGGAGCTGGGTTACGGTTACCTGCAGCACGTGGCACCTGTGTTTGCAGTCCATTCAATTCGAATTTGAATTTGAATCTCAAATAACACTTCATTGCATTTGGGTCGTGGGACAAAGGCTGTCCTGTCTGTCAGGCGGACTTACCTCGCTATCCTCAAACATTGGACTGTCGCTCGAGTCGAGATTATTGTCCAATTTCGAATCGGCATTTATACCTCCGCGCATCCATAGCTTCTTCCAGTCGTTATCTGTGAGTACTGACTTCTGATCTGCAATCAAAGAAAGAGCAGCCAAGAGCGTAAGACAAAACCAACTCGAGAGTGGAGTAAGGGAGTGGAAAGTGCAATTGCAAATTGTGTTAAGTGTCCCGTCCCGACTCTGCACCCCCCGACCCTCGTCCTATCCCACAAATCCGATTGATTTGATTTCAATGCAATCAGCCAAAGTAAAGTGAAGGGCTGGAGTAGCTGCCAAATGGATGTGCCTGGCCTTTGGATAGACCAAAGCCAACTTAGACCTCAGCTCTGCCACAATCTACTGCCATTTCAGATTCCACCTCAAATCTAAGCCTGTTGAAATAATAAAGCGTTTGATTGACATCGGGGGGGGCCCAGCGTGTTATTTATGATTATTGCCGCTACATGGCGTTTATCGATTTCCCCTAATCCTACGTCAGAGCACACAGACTCGCACGCAGACACAGACACTCAAACTTGTTGAAACACTCGCTCTTTAATTTGTCTTCGTGTTTATTTTGGGTGGTTACGCCATACCCTTGCGGGTGGACAGGCTATCTTATCTGCTTAGCTAAAGCGATTAATATCAGAAAAGGATTTGAAAAGCCGACTTGAAAAGCACTTGAAACGATTGTGTTCCTTTGGCTTTTGCTGACAGTGACACTGTCATACGAGTATAAATTATATTTTGATTATATTTAGAAAAGTGTCTTGCCAAATAATGTTGTTTCTTCTTCTGGGTATGAAAACTATTCTGCAATTGGCCCATGTTTATAAGGTAGTTAAAACAAAGTTTAAGTTTCACTGCTGTGCCTCGAAAAGTACCCAAGTTTATTCACTCTGCCAACTTATGGCAAAGGGAAACATTTTAGAGAGGACTACTTCTGCAAATTGGTATTCCATTATTACAATACTTGAAACAGAGCAGATTTCGCCGCTTAGTTCGCTATCAAGACGTTGGCTTTGGTGAATTTTAATTTTAGTCGGGCCCGCTACATTTTCCCTGCTGAGTGGGTACTTTAATTAGGAAACTTTGATTGCCAGGGCAACGCTGTACGGACAGTCCGGAACTGTCCGTCTGGCCGCTGAAAATTAATTTACGTCGTACGTACGCCGCTCCTTTTACGCTCCTTCGGTTGCGTTCGCAAGCCCCTGGAATATGGCCGATGAAAGGTATACTATCTATCTATTATTAACCCGCTGTTGCTGCCAATTTGAGTGTGTCTGTGTGTGTGTGTGTGTGTGCATGTGTTAGAGCAAGTCAGCTGTAAAGGGGAATTTACTCAATCAATCAGGCAAACGTAATGCAGAAACTTTCAGCATGATACGATGCGATGTGAGTGAGCTTCTTATGCTCGGCCTCTCCTGCTCCATCCCTCCCTCACTGCGTCACAGTCCGATGGCTTTGCGAAATATCGAAGAAGAAATGTTCCAAGAAATACAAAATGCGCAGTGTCGTTGTTTGCAGGCGAGGGAAACACACACGGCTCCACCTTCCACAACGCTCGCTGGCGGCTATAAAACACAGCGAAGCGAGCTCACAGTTTTATTGCCTCGTAAATTTTTATAGTTCATACTTTAGGCATGCGTATGCAGTGCCACAGAGCCACAGTGCCGCAACGGCGCTTGTATTTGTGTGTATGTGTGCACTTGTATCGGTGCGTATATATGTTTGCATTGTCCTTTGTTAGCACCGATGTTATTTATGTGGCCGCAGTCCGCAGTGACGTCAAAGTTCTGATCACGCTGCATTGATTTTAAATTTGTTCCGCTGTCCCCAAATACGCTGAGGTTTTTTTTTTCTTTTGATATTCGGAAACGTATCGGAGAGCTGTATCTGCTTGAGCCGCTTAATACGGAGCCCAAGACGAATGCCAAACTATTAACAATATGAAATATTTTTGAAGGAAAACGCAAAGTGCGCAGACAAAGGCGATTCCACTTGTCTCAAGTCGACTTGGGGCGGCTTTATGATGGGTCAGGTCAGAGACCAACATAAATTGTTGATATATACCTACATATATCTATATTTATACATATATGTATATCTTTATCTTATGTGTTTGTGGTTGTGTGTGGTGGCCCTGTCATGCATACAAATGCAAAGAAGAATAAGGGGATCGTGTGTGGTGTGTGTGTGTGTGTGTGTATGTAGCAAGAGCCAAGTGGAAATATATTGCGAATGTTAAGAGGAATGTAAATGCTCAGACTAGGACTCAGACACAAAGCCAACGAACGCACAGTGGGCTGGCTATACGCTAAGGTCAAGTGGCAGTGGTGCGGCGCTGTGCGGTGCTGTGCGGTGCGGAGCGTGTGGAGCTCGATAATAGTGAAAAAACACGCACTGCTAATAAAATGGCTAAAGCCGCGTATTTCAACGCATCCTGTTTGCTCCGAGTCCCACTCCCAGTCCGATTCCGACTGTGGCCCTACGTGCGCATGTCAGCTGCCTGCGGCTTAGGCGTGTGAATTATATTATGCCTGAAAGTAGGCAACAGTAATAAAACTTGCGCAAGAAGCGATAGAAAAAGGTCCCCCACAGCCCGGAGAGGCAGCCAGAACCAGCCCACTCATGCTTTCACTCTCCCTCCCCTCTGGGCAAACCGGATGCCTTGGAGGAAGTAGCAGAAAAAGCTGGCAATACATAAGTTTTCGTTTCGTTCATCGCATTTTTCATTCGATATCGCCTGGCCCTGCCCCGGCCCACCCTTCACTAAAAAGCGATAAATAATGAAGTCAGCAAGTGCGGCTGGCATGCTCGCATGTTTATTATTAATAATAAATATTTCTTGTCAATCTCCCGTCCGTGCCACTGCCACACTGCCACTCCTCCTCCCTCCCTTCGACCGTTTAAGCCGTATGGCGCAAAGTCACGACACATTGGTTATTGTCCTTGTTGGTGTTGTAGTTGTGCGCACTTGTCATGTTTCAAATTATTATTTATCTGTCTCTGTAGCTGTCTCCATCTCCATCTCCATCTCTGTCTCCGCCTTTGTCTTTGTCTTTATGTCTGCGTATATCCAATATTTTAATGCCTGGCACTGGGTTTATGTGTGTGTGCGAGTATTAAGCCGGAAAGCCGCTTAAGTCGACGCTCTTTTCCCGCTTGGCCCACAAGTACTTAGCACTTTTTAAGCTGCCCGGCTCTGCATACGTATACCAGCCACATGGCATAGCCTGAACCTGAGCCTGAACCCGCAAGCCAAAGATCGCAGCGTCTTGCGTTACACTCAGCAGACTTATTTGCGCCATGAGCTTAATTTTAAAACCGCTAAGCAAATTTGCAAAATAGCTGACTATGGAGCTACAGCAGCAGCAGAAGCAGAAGCAGCAGCAGCTCCAAACGAGTGTGCCAAAGGTAAAAGGAGAATGGAAAATGCTCTGGTGCGTGTGTGCTGCCCCAGCGACCTTGAGCCAGGAAAATGTGGCACAGACAGAAAAAGGGACAGCGCATGTGACCTTTTCTGGCTGCCAGCTGGAAGGGTTAAGCTGACTTTGTTCATCTTGGCATTGACTGTGTAAATTGTCGTTTTTTTTTTTGGCGAAGCTCGTGCTGCGCGAGAAGCCGCAATAATACATATTTAAGCACATACGAATGTACATATATATGTCTGCGGAAGCCCTGGATTGGATCTCCTAGCGTAATGGCTTGCAACTTCACTATGAAATATTAATCTAATGGGGAAACTTCCTTTCTAATTCAGTGACAAGCGGTATGTGGAGCCAAGCCCTGACGGTCCCTTGATAAGAGTATAAACGCTTCGTCATTCCAGCTTCAAAGTTTTTTCCTTCTTAGTTCCCCTCCTGTTCAGCTCTGTGCGCACTTTAAAAGTCAATTTGGGAAACTTTTTTTTCTCGACAACGATTTTCAAGCCACAAGGCGTCGCAATAAATTTTCAATTTTTGCATTGTCACGCGAGCTTCGTTTGTTTTCACCAGCGTCCCCCTCCCCCCCGACAAAGTGCTGCCACCGCCTATCTCTCTCTGGAGGCTGCGTAATGAGCGGACCGCGCGTTTCGATAAGGTGTCCTCGTTGGTGGCGGATAATTTATGCATAACGCGTTCGACCGGCGGAACAACAACAGGAAACACCGCGGCGACTCCGACTTTGCGTGGCACTTTCAGGTCAAAACCAAAGCCACAAGGGCAGCAGCGCCAAGAACAACAACAAAACAAGCGGGTTCGCCTCACCGTCAACAAGGTGGGTCGCGGTGCCCTCAACGCTAATCTCTCCCCTGTGTATTTTTCATTATCCTTATTATTTGTGAATGTTACGTGTTGGCCATAACTTAGACGGTCTAACGATGCGTATACGTGACGCACACGCACACAAGCACACACCCACACACAGACAGGAAGAGAGCGGGCGAATGCTTGGGTGTGGCACGCTTTTAGGCGTTGCCGCCCATTTAAAGTAAATTAGCGAAAGGTCAAAACGCGAGGCGATGCGAATGAAAAATTAATTATTGTTTGCAGAGCAATTGCCAAAAGATTTAAATTGCTTAGCTGCAACTGTCTCCTCTCCACAGCTCTGCTCCCCTCTCCCATTCTTCACCAGTTTTCGAAGGGGCCTTTGTTTACCTGCCACCGCTCTGCTGCATCGCATCCCATTTACGGAATGAATTGCAAACATTTAAATACTCTGCCTACACTTTTTCATAGCCTTCTGCATCGCCCATCTTATTAATGAAATATTTCGAGCGAAACTTTATGCCGCAGGTGCCGGACCCAGCCATCTCCCAGCAGTATGAAGGACGCAGGACGCCGGACATGGCACGGCAAGCCGATGATAATAAAATTTCTAGCATAATAAATCCGTAAATTGGCAAAGTTTCCATGCCGACTTTCATTCCGCGTTAAGGGGCTTTAATTGTAGCACTGAGGAAGAAGGACTCGGTGGATGGGGCTTGTAGCGATTTGTTGGCTTTATGTAAATATTAAAATAAACTGCTGCATACTTTAAGGCGCAACTGGGGTAGCCGGGGTAGTATGCGCGGCAGTGGGGCAGAGCGCATAAATTTGGTTTTAATTTACTTAGCACTTCACTAAGCCTCTCGCCAGGCCCTCCGGCGAATGCTCATGGCCAAAGAAATAGCCCTAATTAAATTCTTGGTAGGAGCATAAAAGACTAAGGGATAGAGACAGAGTAGTAAACGAATTCCAGTACGCACCTGGCTCCAGTGTTGTGGCCAGCAGCAGCGTCGGCAGGCAGAGCAGAAGGATGCGCAGTTCCATCAGATGCATGGGCCGCCGCAGACGGAGCAGCAGCCGTGGCGGCAACATTGGTGGTAGCTTCCCTAGAGGTCCGGTCCTGTCCAGTGACTGTTCCGTTCACGAAACTCTCCTTTGCCTACTGCCTAGAGCCGACGTTGAGGCAGGCACATCGATAGGCGTCGGTTCGAGCGGGTACTGTGCGGCTAATTCTTGTGGCTGCTTATTAGGGTTAATGGCTTTTTGAATGAACGCGCAGAATCCTTTCAGCGCCGGCTCCGGCTACTGCACAATGCCAGCATCTCCGGCACACATATGCCTGACCGACTGCTCCCAGCTGCCTCAGATGCCTCTGATAAATGATGCTCTTCCAATGTGCAAGCGTTGCCTTTTTTGTTGTCTCCTGTCAATGCGATGGCTGTTGTCTGCTGTCTGTTGTTGTCTGTTGTCTGTTGTCTGATGCCGCCTCTTGTCCTGCGTGCAACAATACGCCTTTACCCCACTTGCAACACGTCGCCAATTTGCAGCTTGTTGTTAGATTCTTTCTTTCTTTCTTTCGTTCTTCTCTAGAAGTTGCGTGGAGGCAAAACTTGCATGCTCTCCATCATTTTTCATGTCACTGCGCGTTAGCACATTAAGCTACATCTGTGTCTGTGTGTAGCTGCCTCTCCTCAGGCTCTGCCCCTTAGTAACTGTCTCTGTATTCGTAGCCTTACCCGTAGTCTTGGGTATATCTATCTTGTATTGTGTAGCCGGCAAAAAATTAACACTCGCTTTTTATGAAATTACATTCAATTTGCTGTAGTGGCTGCTTCTTGTTGCTGCTTTGTTTCGGGCAACAACAATGGTAGGGGCGATGATGAATCGTTTCTAATGTAATGTCCTTTGAGAGCAGCAGCGCTTTTTCTGAGCGTCCTTCGTTGAGTTTTGTGGTGGCACCCAGGCCATTATCTGGAAAGCAGAAAAAGAAAAAAAAAAGAAAATGCATATATAGTAGATTCCAAGACGAAACTTAAAGACCTCTGTGTGTGTGTGTGTGTGGTGTGAACAGTACCTACTAATTTCGTTCCCCAATTAAAATATAAATTTCTTTTCGCACAACTCTGGCTAGACAGATTGCGGGGATTGTAATTCATTTGCATATAGAATGAAATTTATTTATTGCTCTGCCAAATTTGCCACATTATTTATAGGTCAGTGCGAGCGAGAGCAACTTGTCCGGGATTATGCAAAACGCCCACCACGGCGTGGCCAACGACTGAATGGCCCAACAATTGCCGGGACTGGACCTGGACCTGGTCGCTGGACACCACTCAGCAGGACTGTGGTTATGGCTCTGGCGGGGCCTTGACGATGGAGCTCGGTTTTCCTTAAATTTGTATTTATTTGCGGGCACGCGTGAGTGAGTTTATTTAAATTTTTTATGCTCAGCGCATAAAAAGCGGAGAGCACTGGCAACTTGGTCAAACTTTTGTACGATGTCATAATTTTTATCTGCAGCGTCGCTCTTTGTTCGCTCTTCTATTTCGGTTTTTTTTTATAAATTTTATTTTACAAGTTTTTTATATTTATTTCTTTGTTTATAACGGAGCTGAAGATGGAGCAGCTCTTCAATTTTTGTCGTTTTATGTGCGGGACCGTTCAACTTGTTCAACTTGTCGAGCAAATAATGCTAATGAATCCGAGTCTGCGGAGCGTTGTGCACATAAATTAAAATTGAAATTCGGCCGCAAAATTGCCAAAGCGTTCGCTCATTTTAATTACAAAACTATGCGGCTTTTGGGGCTCTGCGATTTCCTGATTTTCCGCATTTTCCACTGTCCCAGCAAGTGTGCGATGGTATTTAATTAACGGCGCTCTCATGGACAAACATTAGCAAATGTCATGCGGCCAAAATTTATGACACACTCGTGTACAATTCATTTAAATTGATAATACTGGCCGGCTTACCGGGTGGGATCTTTGGGGGTATTTTGAGGCGTGGTGGCCCTGAAGCATGTACATATGTACTATATATACGTATGTATATATACGTACATATATGTAGCTTTTTGCTGGTGCTTTTGTACTCTTGTGCCGTGCCATAAGAGTACGAGTACGAGTATCACAAATGCAGCAGTTTAGAGTAATTCGCAGAGTAAATGTCATGCCAGAGGAATGCTTGTTTATGTATCTGAATTCTCAATGTGTGAGTGCTGCTCAACACAACTATGCACTTAAATGCAGTCACGTACACTCACACACACACACACACACACACACACATAGACGTACATATTATTATCTTGACACAATGGTGCCATAAAACTTAAAGACCCCCACAGCAGTTTTGCCTTTGCTGTGGCTGTTGCTGTTGCTTGTGCCTTTGCCTCTGCCTTTGCCTTTGCCTAGTGGCTGGGCGAGGGCAAGCGCTGAAGGACATGGCATTTGCCATGCCTTTGCCTCTTTCTGCCCACTCTCTTCACCATTCTCATTTTCTTTCTCTTGCTGTGCTTCCCTTTCATTCCACTCGCACTGCATATGCGCATTTGTTTGCATTTTGCACACACTCTCGTAGTCCACAGTCCTTCTGCTGCTCCTCCTACCTCTTCCTGGATCGTTCTTTCTTTCCTCTGGCGCTTTGGAGGTTATATGGAAATTGTAATAAGTTGGAAACCAAAAAGCTGATGTCATGAGGTTAGTTGCTGTGGCTCAAGTTTCAAGCGACAATCATGTGCTTTTCTTTTGTGCTTTGTTTTGCTCTAGTCTGACCTCATACTTCATTTTGTAGCTTTTGTTTAGCATGTCATCTGACTCTGGCACTTGCTCTAGCTCTAGCTCTTGCTCTTGCTCTGGCTCTGGCTCTGGCTCGTCCGTTGGCTTGGATTTGGCTTCTGGTCCTGGCCATGCCTGTGTTGCATAATGCACTCCGATGGGGCACTGAGCCTGGCCATATTGTTATTGCAGTCGTTTGGCCATGCTGTCGGAAATGTAACGGCATGCCAACATGGTAAATTCTCACAGAGCGAGCGAGGGTGAGAGCGAGAGAAGGGAGGCACACAGGAGCATGCATAAATAAGTATGTGAAAGGACCGTGTATTATTGCTGACAGTAATTGCGAAGGCTAGTAAATTATTTAAATGTTTATTCGGGGATTTGGCCATTCACTGACAGCATACAGCAGAAGAGACCAAAGGTTGCATCACACTGCGTATGATTGATATGCTGGACGGCTACCACAACACGGAACACTGTCTCGACGGGGGGCTGCATTCTCACCGCAGCGGGGGATAACCAACTAAATTCAGTTCCCGTTTAATCTCCTGCGGCGACCACACAGTTTTCGGAACAAAAGTTTTGGCCACCAACTGCAGCTCCCCGCTGCAAAGTTGGTTGAGCTAAAATCAATTTGATGCTCCCGCATTGGTTGGCCTTTTAATTAGCATTCGTAATTATCGCAATTACATAAATCGGCCTGCGGCGAATTTGGATAATTATTGGAGGGAACTCTCCTCGCCAGAATCCATTTGACATTTTGCCTTGTATCATGCCTTGTGCGGAGCAGGAGTGTGATGCAGGAAAGTTATGTGGAATGGCATTACGAACGCCATAAATGGGACAGCAAGCCGTAACAATGTCCATTCTGTGGCCAGCATTGTGGGCGGGTCGATGTGGATGATCAGCTACTTGTTCCCGCCCGCAGTCATGCACATGCTCACGAATTCAAATGGAAATGGCGCGTAACGCATTTTAATTGCAATTGCACTTGAGTGCCTGCATAAAAATGCGCATTATATAAATTTACCCCTTTAAGTGCCGACATTGTAGTTACACTGAATGCACTTGTATCTACTCATACGTACAAGTACGTACGTACATATGCGTGCATTTGGCTGTGGCTGTGGCTTTGGCTCTGCCTGTGGCTGTGGCCGTGTTCGTGCGTGGCCATTTTGCATCTCTTGTGTTCGGGTAATTGTTTTGCGCACATTTCCGTTTCCGCTGCGCTGCACTTGAATGGCTTTAATTTTCGCCATTTTTATTTACAGTCTTCTGCGGCCTATCGACAACTCTTAATAATTGACCAATTGTTCGGCCTGCAACCGAATTCGCATGCACTTTATATGCATTTTAAAGTACGCAGCATTCACATATTATCGATATAATCAATAATTATTTAACGTACTCGGGAGGGAATTGTGCACATATCAAAAAGTGCCACCGAAAAGAACATACAATTTGGAGCCACTTCAGGACATCTTCATTCAGCATTTGAACAGATCGCTTGCTAAGTCCTGGATCAGGCATTGCACATACTTGTACATATTTTTTGGTTTTATAATATTTGTTCATTTGTTCCCTTTATTGATTGCATGGGGATGCTTCATACTTCCACATTCATACTGTTCTGGAACTTTTCACACAAATGAATCTTTACTTGAAACTGGCACATATTACGCATACGAATCGCAGCACGAGGGACGAGTGACGAGGGGGACGAGCCGAGCTGCGCTTAAGCCGCTTGCCTGCTCACACAATCGCATTGTGTGTGCGGCAAACTTGTTTGTTTGCCTGCGGGGCTGCAATGAATCCTTGCTGGAAACTTGTTAGCAACATTTAAAGGAGAACAAAACTTGCAAGTTGAAAAACTTTTTCAATTTGAGCCCGTTGTGCCCCATCACTCCGACACTCGGCGATGCGCCGCCTGCTCGGGCTTGCTCTGAAGTTTTGCTCTTGTTAATTTACCACTAAAAAGTGCATTGGCCACATTTGAATTATTCCATGCCATTGCGTGTCTGCGAGGACAGTTTGTTGAACTTGAGACTCAGCGTACGACCCGCTGCCGCACTACCCCCCCCGCCCAACCATCTAAAACTGTGGCGTGTCGAAGCTTTGAGCTGCTCATTTAGCTTTAATTAAATGCTTTAATTGCAAAGCAGGGACAAAGTTGACGACAGTCCGCTTAGCAGGAAGTTGCTTTAAGGCGTCCATAAGAATGCCACAAAATATTTAAGACACCCCTGGCTAAGGCCCTTCGTGTCCGTGTGTCCGTGTGTCCGTGTGTCCTTGTGCACTTGTGTGTGTGCCTGTGTGTGTGCTGGGGGAATGAAGAAAAATGGTGGCTGTAATAATAAAAATAAAACTATTCGTAGTGTTTATTTAAGTTTAGAAATTGTACAAATTTTCGTAAATTGTTTTGTGCTTTGCCACGCTTGTTACAGGCCAAAAGAACCAAAGTTTTCCCAGCCATCGCCTAGGTATTGTTCGCCCCGTATGTGTGTGTGTGTGTGTGTGTGTTTATGTTACTATATTTATACCCTCCCCCTATCGCGCACCCACCAAGACCCCACAGTTCGTGCAGAATTTTCTTTTTCTGCCTTTTCTGTCGTGACTGCAGCAAAGTTTTAGTTTGGCAATTTTGCTTTTCCGTTCGCTTCGGTTTGTTTTTTTTTTTTCTTTTTCGTTTGCCGTTTTTTGCTCTCTGTATTTTTCTTACTTTAGCAGTTCAGTTTTGCCTCTTTTTTGGGTGAATTTTTGTTTCGTTTTGTGCTTTGTTAGTTCCGTTTCCGCTCGACGCCAGCGCGCAGCGCACAGCACACAGCACACACTGCCATCCCATCACACACCGATTGGCACTGGCACTGCCTGCCCTTACTGCTCCATTTTCGTGGCTGGTTCGCTCGTTTTTATTTCATGTGGTGTTGTCAACTTATTTCCCCGTTCGCTGATTTATTTTCTAAACAATTAAAGAAAAACACAAAGCACGAAACACCAAACACAGGCAGGGAACAAAAAGGAAGTCCACACAAGCGACACAGATAGCAGAGTGTGTGGTGCTGCTTTATGAATTTTTCACCTGAATTATTTCCAGGAAAAAGGCAGGATAACAGTTTGCTGGCAGGCGACTGGTGGCAGGTGACTGAAAGAGAAGACTCAAAGCGCACCGATAACTAAAACAATGAAAAATTAAACCA